AAATGAAATGCTCAGCCTTATGTCTTTAAAGGTATCTCCCCAGCTGCTGTGTGAAGAACAGTTACTATGGGGGACACAGGGCCAGGAGCAGGGAGCCCACTTGGAGGGAATTGAAGTATATGATGATAGTACCAGGGTGATAACAGGGGATGGTGCACATTGAGGGATTCAGGACCAATAGGAATTGGTGATGGATGGGATACACAGTGTGATAGAAAGAGAGGGGTCAGAATGTGTGGAGCACCTGTGATGTGTTGGGAGCATGGTGTTGGGAGCTCACCATTTAAGAATCAAATAGATGGGAAACCAGTAGTTACCTGTAGTGTTCTTGGCACTTAGAAGTGAGTAGATATGCTAGGGGAGGAGGGAATACAGCTAACTCTGCTGGGTTGGGAGGGGGTGGTGGGAGGAAGGCTTTCAGGAGGAGATGCCATTGGAGCCAGCCCTACCAGGTGGAGGAAAGAGGAAGTGCATTCCAGGATGACTGTGCAAAAGTGCAGAGTTAAGGGGATTGGGATGGGGAATACATGTAAATCCATGGCTGATTCATGTCAATGTATGGCAAAGACCATTACAAAATTGTAAAGTAATTAGCCTCCAACTAATAAAAATAAATGGAAAAAAAAAAAAAAAGACTAGGGAGCCCACTGTGGCCAGAGGGCAGCAAGCAGTCAGGGTGGCTACTTAGCTGACGCACAGGAAGGTGGAAGAGAAATAGGAATCACAAGAGAAAGAACAAGGGAGTTGTGCTAGGTGCCTGGATGGCAGGATGCTGAGGGAGGGAGTCCCAGAAGCACCTGTTTCCAGTAACAACTGCCAAGATGAGTTAGCACAGCTGGGTTATATGCCTGCAAGAAAGGCCATGGATAGTGTAGGAGAGAGACTCAGCTCAGGGCAGAGAAGGGGGCTGCCAGGTACTGAGAGACAGAGGCCTTGCCTTAGAACCCCTGTGGTTCTAGAACCCACTGAGGCTTTCCTGTCACTGGGCTTCCAAGACTGGCAAAGGCTTGTGCTGGGCAGCTGGAGATGAATGAGAAGGCAAGAGAGGCAAAATAAATGGTCAGCCTAAGAAGCCATAACTTAGAGTGGCTGGAGGAGGAGAAAGTTGGGAGTGGCTGAGAAGGGGCTGGTCAACTGATGACCCCAACCCTGGCAGCCCTGTAAGGATAATGCAAGTGAGCACCCTTGGGAGTCTCAGTTACCTACCTTGCCCATGGCCAAAGGGAAGGAAGTGTCCACATGCCCCCCTGTCCCCTGACCCAGGAAACCTTCAAAGAGGCTGTGGGCAGATGAGAGAAGGTTGGGGCAGGCAGGCAGCAAAGAGTAAGGCAGGGTGTAAGAAGGCATAGGGGGTAGACGGCAGCACTCTATGCAGAGGTAGGTGTGAAGCTCAGTACTGCCATATGTGAAGGGAACAGAGTGAAATCTCTCGGGAGCTCCTGCCTGTGGAAGCTGGAGCCCAAGACATAGATATCTGTATTTTACATGCAAGATGTCTGTGCACAGAGGGCAGACAGCCAATGAAACAAAATTGTGGAGGCTATCAGTGCCCCACTCTGCCCCCCTGTAAATTGGTCACTTTCCACCCCAGCAGCTGCCTCCATCTCTTTGCACTCTACTTTCTCTGACCAGCAAAATCCTCATTGTCCACCCACACAGAAGACAGAACTATGGAAAATTAACACCCTGAGGGAGCAGCCCAAACACTGACTGATGGGAATGGGAGTATAGATACCTCACCTCCCTCACCCCACTGGTGCCACAGCTACAGTCCGCCAGAGCTCCCAGAGAGATTGCACCCCAGTGGCCCATAGCAGTGACTAACTTGTAAACTCTCCTTTCATTGGCGTCCTTCTCTTCCCTCTTTTTATCACACTTCACTACTAGTGTTTCATTTACCTTCCAAATAAACAAGTTGTATTTGAATCCTTGTCTCAGGTCTGCTTCTGGGAGGACCAAAGTAAGACAGAAACCTCAGCAAGACACAGTAGGAAAAATGTGGGGCTGAAAGGCTGAGTTTGAATCCCAGCTCCTTTGTGTGTAAGGAATTCTGAGCTGGCAGCAAGCTTCCACATAGGTTGGTTGAGCATAAATTAGAATTCTAATTCTTAAAAACAAGGCCCAGGCCACCCTATAGATATGCCATGTTCCCCACAAAATTCAAATCAAAACCACATTGATAACAAAGCCCCTTGGCTGGTTTTTGGCTTACTGCTGAAAGCATAGTCCCCTGATTTGTCATCCTGGGCTAAATATAAAAGAATTCTAGCCTGAGTCAGAAAGTTATTTTCAGCACTCGGTCTTACTTTGCAGCCATTGAAGGATGCTGTTCAGAAGGCTGTCTTTCTGGAGGCTGAGGTCAACCCTGGTGGCCCCTGGATTCCAGGGACAACTGCCCAATACTTCTCCCAAGGGAAATTATCTCCTAAACACATTCTGACTGATGCCCCAGCCTCCCCCAAACCCACCAAATCTCAGCTTCTGTTTCTGGCCACTATCCAGAGCTGAGAACGAAGTCCCTTCAGGACTGAGGTCTCCTCTCTCAAAAAGCCACAGAAATAGGGGAAGGGGAAGTGAATAGACTCCAGTATTTTGTACAAACCTGCTAAGTCTTACACCCTGAAATTTATGATTCGTCAAAAAAATCCCTTCCAGAGAAACATTGTTATGTATATATCACAGAAAAGGAAAGTGAGACTTAGATGGCCAAATAACTTGCTGAAGGCTGCATGACCAGAGTTTGAAAATCCTGTGCCACACAATACTACCTGACATTCCTCTTTCTCCACACTGTCTCTTAGCACCAGGAATCTCACCAAGTGGGAGGTGGGTGATATACAAGAGCCCACAGGTCAAAGAGGGACGCATGGTGCCTCTGCTCCCTCAGTACGGGACCTTGCTCTTATTTCTTTGAGGACAAGAAAAGAAAGCATGTATCATGATTTGTCAAGGACCACTACCCCTGCTCTGCTTACCCTGGCAGACACGTGAGGCTTTTTCCTGGGATGGGACACTCTTGCCACCTATCCTTGATCCCTGCTGCTGTTGCTGCGGAGGATGGTGAGGGTGACAAAGTGGCCTGTGCTTCCTGGATGATGTCTTTGCACTTTGTTAGTTGCCCTTGGAGATATGACTCCTTACGGTCCATGGTGGGGAAGGCAGGGGAGAGGTTTGTGGGGAAGAGGGTCTTTCTGGCACAACTCAGATCTCCAGTGCCCCCACTCCCTCCTGCCAGGCACTCTGCTCCCTTTTAAAGCCATCCCAGAAGCCTTCCCTGACCACTTCCCACTTCCACCAGGACAGCCCCATTATCCTGCATTCCAGCAGCCCACGGGCATTGCATTTGTTCAGTTGCTAAGTCGTTTATGACTCTTTGCAACCCCATGGACTGCAGCACACCAGATGTTTGCTCAAATTCATGTCACTTAAGTGGCTGATGCTATCTAATCATCTCATCCTCTGCCACCTCCTTCTCCTTTTGCCTGCAATCTTTACCAGCATCAGGTCTTCTCCAATGATGTTCTTCGCATCAGGTGGCCAAAGCATTGGAACTTCAGCTTCAGCATCAGTCCTTCCAATGAATATTCAGGACTGGTTTTCTACAGGATTGACTGCTTTGATCTCCTTGCAGTCCAAGGGACTCTTAAGAGTCTTCTCCAACACCACAGTTGGAAAGCTTCTTTTGAAGCTTCTTTAGCACTCAGCGTTCTTTATGGTCCAACTCGCACATCCATACATGACTACTGAAAAAAACCATAGCTTTGATGAGATGGACCTTTGTCAACAAAAGTGATGTCTCTGCTTTTTAATATGCTGTCTAGGTTTGTCATAGCTTTCCTTCCAAGGAGTGTCTTTTAATTTCATGGCTAAAATCACTGTCCACAGTGATTTGGGCATTGTGTTTATTGAGGCTTAATTCTAGGTTCTATCTTTTGCCTGCTCAAAAATATCCATATCTCCTAACTATCCAGAAATTAAAAGCCTAACTTTCCGGCATTTAAGGTCCTTTACCATCTGTCCCAAATGAAGTTTTCTGAGCATATCCTATAGGACATTCCCCTGCCCCAAACTTGTTATCCTCTTGCCTACCTCTCCCTTCCACTCCTGATACCCTCTACCCTTCCTCATTCTGCCTGACTCCTGTCTATCCTGAGACTTTGGAAGCCCCCCCACCCCAATATACTGGGCACCACCATCATCCCATCTTCTTTCTCATGATCTTTGATCCACATTGCTACTGAGTGAGTAGGACTCAGGTATTTGAAGAGAGTCCAGGACACTGCCTGGCATGGAGCAAGCCTTGGTCAACATTTAGTTCAGGAGTTCTTACCCTTCTTATAAAGATAGGGACTATTTGGGCATCTGACAAAGTGTATGGAGCCTTTATCAGAATTACTCTTTGAAATGCATAAAATAAAATACAAAGGATTACAGATGAAATCAATTTCATTTATTTTTAATTAAAATTTGTGATTTAGTATTAAATGTACTTCCACATGAAGGCTTTAAGTAACAGGATCCACTGGTGTGTTCTAGTGACCAACATTTCCAAATAGGGAGGAGCATAGACAATATTTCAAAACATCTCTGCCAACTGCTAATATTAGGTACAAAACTGACAATATTGCACTGCTTTGTAGCTGCAGTTTGGAGCTACAAACCAGTGATTTCAATATCATCTTGTCTAATTCTACTCAGGTTTGTTGCTTACACTTGCAGGAAATGCTTGATTTCAGGTAAATGTGAGTAAAACTGAAGATGGTTGTTTTTCTTCATCAAAGTTCATGGACACTCTTGAATTATATCAGGGACTCATTGAGGAGAAATATCTTGATAGCCCCTAGTTGATGAATGGTCAGAGCTCAGGAAAGGTGCGTGGGAGGGGGAGTGGTGTGGAGAGGGGCTGCCTGTGGAGAGGGGCTGCACCAGGAGCAGCCTGGGGCTCCCTAGGGCTCCCTCTTCCTGAGCATCTAACTAGCCTGGGTCTCTGCTCCCCACAGGCTCCCTGTTCCCACAGCTGAAGCCCTCAGAGGGCGTCTTCAAGGTTATCTTCTGGCTGGGCTACTTCAACAGTTGTGTGAATCCACTCATCTACCCCTGCTCCAGCAGGGAGTTCAAGCGTGCCTTCCTCCGCCTCCTGCGCTGCCGGTGCCATCATAGTCGCCAGCGCCGCCGCCCCCTCTGGAGTATCTACAGTCACAACTGGCGAGCTTCAAATGGCAGCCCACACCCAGACTGCATGCCTGGCCCAGGTGCCATACCTACCAGGGCCCCACAGGCCTTCACGGTGCCCTCAGCCCCTGGCTCCCTGGGCACACCCAAAGCACAGGCTCCAGCTGTCACCTGTCGAAAGATGCCCTGCACCTTCCGTGAGTGGAGGCTTCTCCGGCCATTCCAGAGACCTGCTACCCAGCTGCATGCCAAAGTCTCCAGCCCATCGCAAAAGATCCACACCAGAGAGGCCATGTGCGCCCTGCACTCAGAGGTAGAAGTGGTGTTCTTAGGTGTCCCCCGTGATGCAGCTGAGGGCACCACCTGCCAGGCTTATAAACTGGAGGACTACAGCCATCTCCAAGAGACTGATATTTAAGGACCTTGAGTTAGGCCGAGGAGTATGCTGGAGTGGCGGGAAGGGTATGGAGAAGGAAGCTGTCTTTGTTCAAGAGGCTGGTGAGAATCAGAGACCCAGAAACGAATCAGCATCAGTTTTGGCAACTGCTCTCCAGCATCCGTGAGGAACTGAGATGGGATGAGGGTTTTGAAAGTTATGGGATCCCCCTCCTGGACACAGATGCCCCTAGCTCCTCCTTTCAAGAGAGGGGCTACGGGCTCCTTGAGGCCATTTGCTTCCAATCCCTGCATGAGAAATACTGCCGCATCCATGCTGTGAACCCTGGGTAGGTGGCCCCAAGTATAGCCAGGCAGCCCTGTCCCTCCTCTTGGGGAGGAAAGGGCACAGAAGCCCTGCCTGGCTGTCCCCAATGCCTTCCCTCCAGGAAAGGTCACTGGGGCCAAGGATTCTCAATGGACATAATTTCTCCTTACTGCAGACTGGAGAAATCCAGTGAGCCTGGCACCGCCACCAGCATGCTTTGGTGGCAGAATGAATGACTGTCCTACAAGCCTATTGTATAACCTGCAGGCCACTCTGCCCTACAGAGGCCCTGCCCTGCCCCTCATTTTGTCTTCCAAAGGGCCTTACTGTTTACACTCTGTATATAGCTCCTTATGCCTGTGCCCATTACTTCTTGCTGGGATCTAGAACCATCAAATAGGGAGAGCTTTGTCATTTTTAGGCATATTTATTGGTCAGGGTACTTCTATTTTCTCCAAACTGTGCAAACTGTTCCTCTTTAGCTTACAACCCATGAAGAACTCCTTTTTTAAAGGCCCACAACAGGATAAATTGAGTTATCCTGTGATCTGTGTTCACTTTCTAGTTTCAGCCTAACTGTCTCTTTAACTGATGGCTTCTGTCCTTTGGGACTTTCAGCATGACCAAAAGATTTGGGAATTTTGTTGGCTCTTAAAACTCACATGATTAGTCTTTGAAAGCAAACAAAGTTTAACTTTTTCAGTCTCACCAGATGCATCTGTGATGCTCTCAGGGCCTCAGTCTGGAAGGTGGCCATCAGTGAAATTGGTGAAACATTACTTTACATTAAAAAATATACAAGCCCAAGTAGACATGTGTACATGGTGAGTGAGGGAACACTTACCTGGAACCATGCTTATTAGCGTTGATGGTTCAACAAATCATCCAAAATCTGTTATATTCCCAAGAGGCTATAGGTAGCTCAGTTTTCAACTGGATAATACCAACCACACATGTCCAACCAGCAAAGGAATGATGATGGTAGCCCAGTGGACCTTTGGAAGGAGAACTGCTAGATAATACCCTGGGGTCTCTGGGGTGGAGGTGTTCTAAAACAGGAAGAACCAACTGCTGGGGCCAACATGGACCAGTATTTTCAACCAGAAGCTTCCTGTAGTAGGGAGGTAGTCTGTTGAAAAGGTCATCACAATTTCAGACTCCTCATCCCAATATTACAAGGTAAAAAGACAGCCAATATCATCTTGGCTCAGGAGCAGAAATTTCACCCTGTGGATCTATAGCAAGTACTGGACTTTCAGGCCTGGCATCCCCCAAGGCACAGGAGGAGCAGTTAAAAGCGGATACTGGGAGCATGTTGCATACATTAAAGAGGGCCCCATCTTACAGCACATTGGCTGCCCTAACGCTGGGAACACTGGCACAGCCCCCAGAATCTTCTCACAGAGGTGGGGCCATCTGTCAAAGCAAGGAGGCAGACCCTTGCATCAATGTATTGAATGTTGGGCTTCTGAGCAGGAGAGTTCAACAGCAGGGGAGGGTCTCTTAGAGGGTTCCCACATGCCAAGGCAGTTGAGCCCACAGGAGGTCTGTAGTAGGGACAAGGGATAAGTGTGGAGAGATAGCTTTCATCAGAAGGATTTAAGTGGTGGTGGGGTTGGGGGGGCTCCCTGTTCTGGATGACAGTGGGTGTAGAGGCAGGGGGCGGTCAGCAGCTTGCCCAGTACTTGCTCTAGGCTTGATGACCAATCAGCAAAACATATCTGACCTTTAAGCCTCAGCTTCGGTCTCCTGCACGTGGGGCCCTCAGCACAAAGCTGGCCTCCTCTTATGCCCTCCATACTAGGGAACAAGCCTTCGGGAGAGGGGGTGGGGCTACAGAGCCCCTAGAGAGGCTGTGCCAGAGCAAGGGCATCCAGTGACCCAGTTCTAAACATCAAACAAAGCACTTGCTGACCTTATTCTCAGGACGTGGCAGAGTCCTGGAATAGCCAAGAGGAATGGAGGAAGTAGCAACAGCCTTTCTAAAGGAAGGAGCCTCTTGCAAGTGGTTTGGGGACATCTGGAAGAAGTGCATTCACTGCACCACTTTCTGGGTCTTCAGGTGCCCCAGCCCCATCCACAACTGAGGGAGTAGAGAAGACTCAGTGCCCATGAAAATGGGACTAAGTGTTCCTTTACACAATCCTCAAGGGATGGAGTGAAGCCAGAAGGAGTTGTGAGTGAGAAGGAGAATGCTCCTGTGAGAAGTGACAGAGACAGAAGCAAGCCTCCAAGGGCACTGGTATTTGCCCAATTCCACCACCCACCCCACCCCCTGCCAATTCCTTAGAAAGCTGCATCCCCACTTCCATCCCAAGGTCCCAGCTCCAGTCCATCCTCCCTTTCCAGCTAGGCTCTTGCGACCCATCTTGCTTTCTTCCCACAGTCTCCAGGACCTCTGTCCCAGCATCGCCCAGGGCTGCTTTTGCAATTCACCTGGGACCTTTCATTTCCCCAATCTCCTCCCCCTCTGTCTCTGCCACAGTCCACACTGGTGGCCACTCCCTGTTTCCTGAAATATTCCTCTCCCTGCCTGATCCACACCCCTGGGATCTTCTGATCATCTGACCACATTCTCTCCATCTCTCTCTCTGCCTCCTGTGCAGGTGCCTCTCTATGCTCTTCAATGTCCCCAAGGTTCTTTTCTTATCTCAACTTGCCACCCAGTCTCATCCACTCCAAATCATCTTAATGACCACTTGTACATAAATGGCTCCCAAAGTGTCTGTCTCTAGCTCCAAATGTGTCTCTAGCTCCTCCCCTAGATGACCTCAGACACCTAACATACAAGCCCTCCAGCCTCCTCCAAAGTTATGTCCTCCACTTGCAGGCATGACAAACGCACTGATGCTGAAGCTTCAGGCTCTCAGGGGCCCTGAGCCTGCCTGCCCTCTCTACTTGCCGTTATCTTCCCAAGACCTCCTTCCCAGACCCCTGGCTCAGAATTAAGCCCTGATTGGCCCTCAGCCTCTCTGGTAGTTCACACCAAGGTCATCCAGGCTTAGAGTTAACCAATAGGATCCACATCTTCATCCACTACGAGGAAGTGGGCTGTCTGACCCCGGGCTACTCAAGACTAGGTGTGAATGTTCATTAAATCCTGGATCGATGGAGTTGCCCCATTACCCTTTCCTGCCACACTGCTCCCATGCCCACCTGATGGCTGGCCAACATCACTGTCTTTGTAAGACCCTCCCCACAGCCGGTTCTACCAGTTCTCAAGGAGCTACAGCCTGCATCCTTCTCCAGCCAGAGAGCCAGATACACCCTGGACTTCTGAAGAACGAAGTCTCCTGCTCCACATGCCCTGCTGCCCAGACCCCTCCTGGAACCCAACTCTGCAGGTCACTCACCATCACCACCACCAGCACTACAAGCCAGTCCCTTAGTCCCTCTGGTTCCAGGCGCTGACAGGTCCTGGGGAAAGTTTTTGGACTTCAGTGACTTGTCAGAGCTCAACTCCTCTGTGCCCTCCTGACCCCGTTTCTATTCCCATCCTGTCATACCCCCAGGGGGTTACATGTTCACTGTCCACTTGGAAAAGAATTTCCTTTTTTTTTTCTTCTTCTTGTGGTTCCAATGAAGCACAAAACCAGATGCTTATAAAGGCTAAACCCGTCCCATAGCCTCTCAGCTCAGAATGGCTCTCTAGGGAGCCCAGTAGATCCAGGTGGTGCTGGGGATGGTAACTTTGGGAAGAGGGCCTGCACTCGGCTCTCTTGAAGGTCTAGGCGGTCACTTCTTCCCTTCCCCACCCAACACTTTGAGGGAGCAGGGAAACAAAGAAACTGTTGAACAAGACCCTGCCCTACATTCTCAAATTGCTCTTGTCTAGAGAAAAATGAAGCACGAATTGCAGGGTGAATTTGGAACCAAGAAGAAATATAGGAACTGGGACCACAACAGGCTGAGCTTTTAGAGCCAGGAGCTGGAAGGAAGGACACATTGGAAGAGGACTTCACCTATGAAATTTGTGGATATTCCTTCCAGGAGTTTGACATTCATGTGACTCCATCATACTGTTTGCATCCACCTTCTTTTGTCCTGCCAGAAACCATAGGACTCTCAGCTTCCATTCCGGAGACAAGCCACAAAGGTCATGGTTCACTGGCCAGCCTATGGATAGACTAATTAGAGGTCAGGTCTGAACATCTGGGCAGGCAGATAGGCATGAGATGGAGCACGTAGTACAAAACACAGCTGCCTGGGTACCAGTGTCTGTGAGTAGAGTAATTCTCCTAGATGGGGGAGGGGTGAAGCAGATAACAAAGGACATAAGCGCCCTAGATATGTTGAAAATGCAGCTGCAAGTAATAAGGAAGCTGCTTAAACACTGGTTATTGTTTTTCTCACTTCACAACTTATGAAGTAGGTAGTTTCTGGCATTGTCAGTCACATATCCAAGCTCTTTCTATCTTTGCTTCATAATCTTTGGTGTGTTGGTTTTTATCCTCCTTGTTGCTTCACCGTGATCAATGGTACCATAAATCACATTCATATTCAAGGCAGAGAAAAAAGGAGAAGGGTCTGGGCTATGGCATCTGCCTCCTTTTATCAAGATAATAAAAGTTTTCCCCAAACCACCCTTCCCCAGCTTACCTCCAGAAGTGGATGCCATGACCACCCTGCAAGGGAGAGTGGCAACAAAAAACAAAACGGAGTGATAGGTCTGCAAAGTGGGCCAAATTTAGTCTACCACCTGACTTTATACAGACTATGAACTAAGAATGGGTTTTACATTTTTAAATGGCTGAGGGGAAAAAAAGTCAAGAGATTATTTCATGACAGATGTATTATATGAAAGTCACCTCTTGGCCCACAAAGCCTAAATTTAAAAAAAGGGTTTTTTTGTCAAAAAGTTTGTTGACCCTGCTTTAGGGCAACATGGATCATTGCCTCCCATTGGAAACCACTGCTATTCTGAACAAAATCACAATTCTGGCAGCAGGAGGAAGCAATGGATATCATGCAGGCAACTCTCAGTGTCTGTCACATAGGCCAGTCACCGTAATGCAAGCCTTTGTCAGCTATCTAATCTGCAATAGCATAAGATAAGAGCTCCCCTTCTCATCAGGAACCTAACCAAGGGGGTTTTTTAGGAAGCCCTCTACCTCAAGGAGAGTTTCCCAAACTGACCAAAGGTGTGGAATTTTGAAAAAGTAAAAGGGGACACAATGAAATATCTGTCTGGCTATGCCTCAAAAGGCTCAATCAGTTATTATTTGCTCAATGAACTTGCCCTCAGCCAAGGGGCTGGTCCTTGGTATTACAGGTGTAGAAAGTGAGTCTAGTCAGTGTCCCACAGTTACCAGTCTCATATAAGCTACACAGATGACCCACCTCACTAGGACATGAAGTTCATAAGCCCAAAGCCAATGTGCTCATTTTTAATGGGAGCTATAACTTAACTATCACACAAGCCAGTGTTCTCATGATGATAAATGAACTTAATGGGAAGCCAAACTGTGGTCTGAAGGATGCTTAGTGAGTTCAGAGGCTGAGCCAGGAAGGTAAAGGGAAAAGTCACTTATTTCATACACCAGGTATGGGGACTGGTTCCCAGGACAGGGTTCCATGTCCCAATGCATTGTGCCTCTGATTCCCTCTCCATCCTCCCATCTCGTTTTCCCATTTCAGCCGTTTGTCTTACTCTGTTCCTCAGGAGTGAGAGGTAATAACACAAACAAAATATATAGTAAATGGTGACAAGCAAAAAATATATAACAGGGAAAGGGAACGGGAAATGTTGAAGCTGTGGAACATGGTACTTTCAGATTGAGTACCCAGGGAAAGTCTCAGGTAAAAGGTAATATGTGAGAAAAGGCCTGAAGGTAGTAATGATGTAAATAAACCATGCAGACTGTTGGGGAAAAGCACTCCTCACAAATGGAACAACAGGTGCAAAGTCTTAACTTAGGAGAAGACTTGGTGTGTTCAGATTAGCGAGCAGGGCAGGGTCGATCAGGCAGATCAGGCAAAGTAGAGGAACAGAAAATGAGGGTGCCAGAGGTAGTAGGTGATGAGTGCCAAAGTACACAGAGCCGTGTAAATAACACAGGACTCTGGCTTTCCTTCTGAGTGAAGTGGTACCTTACAAGAGTTTGAGGAGAGAAGTGACAGGGTCTGACTTTGGGTGGACAGGGTTATTCTAGCTATTGTGTGGAAATAAAAAAAAAAAAAGAAAAGAAACCAAGAAAGACCAGAATGAAAGCAGGAGGCCAGTTGAAGAGTAGTGACAGCAACAATCTAAGCTGATGATGGCTTGGCCAGAGGAATGCAGGTGAATGAGAAGAGGGAGATTCTGAATATTGTGGAGATGGCATTTCCATGGGCTACATCCACGCTCAGCTTTCCTTTCCCAAGTTACCATCTATACCTGCCTGCCTTATTAGGAGCCCTTAACATCTCAGGAAAGACTATGATTAAATCAAAACCACTTCCAACTTAAAGTGACATCCTGTCAAGTCCTTAATAAAACCCTTCTCCTTAAAATACCCATAAATACTTAAAAATAGGATAGAAATTCAAGACATGTCTGAAACGTAAGGCTATCAGCCAACCATTTGGCATTAACAGTGGGAACTCTAAAGGTAAGGAAACAGAATTAAAAGGCTAGCCAAAGTTCTATCCCTTGTATCAAAAGCACCACTGGCTGAGGGTAAGGAAAAGGCTCTACCCTCTTCAACCAGAGCCCCTCACAGCCTATTCCTAACTCCAAGAAGAGCCTTCCCAGTCATCTAATCCCAACCACTGTCCTACTGCCAAGAATTGCTTTCTGAAAAGCCAAAAATACAGTCTATGATCACCCATAATCCTGACTGCCTGCAGGAACTTTCTACCTTTAGCAAAGACTTCAATATTGTCCAGGCTTGTGGGTCTGGGTCAGAAAGGACACTGAGAGTGGAGGGAAACACTGTAATTTCTCAAATTCTCCATTTGCTAGAAAAGGAGTCACAGCAACTCTGAATTTTTAGAACAAGGAGCTGAAAACTAGGCAGCGGTTAGATCTTTCCTCAGTCAAGTAGGACAGAACTAAAAAGAGCTTCTGTCTCTTCCAGCTCCTTGAGCCAGAGTCAAGCTGTGAAATGAATCCTCCAGGAATCTGAATCCCTTGGCCCATTCCTGCCAGGCCCCTTTGCTAGAACTGTGCCACCCTGGGTGGCTTCCCAACGCATGGGCCATTGTTCAGTCTATCACTAGTGCCAACAAATATCCCTCTTGGGTTAAATGACTCTCCCAAAGAGAGATGTTAACTCCTGCTGTGATAATGCTGCAAAATAAGCCACCCCTAAATTCATAGGTTAGAAGAGCAAGCATTTGTCTTTCTTGTCTATGTGTCTGTCTACAGGCCGTAGGTTTGATTCCAGGCTTCTATAAGCTCAGATCTATTCTCCCTTTCTCCATATTCTCCTTGAAACATCAGCTATCAGGGACCTGTTCTTATGACAAATTGCAAATACATGAGAGGCAGAAACCCAACTGTGCTAACATGTTGGAAGCTTCAGCTTATACTACAATGTGTCTGTTCACATTTGTCTGTTGGCCAAAACAAGTCAGATGGCTAAGCCCAAAGTCAAAAGGGAGGAAAATATACTCTATTCCCAGAGGAAGAAAAGTGATTGATATTTGCTGAATATCAATTTCAATGAATATCAATATCAGTATTTGCTGATAATCTTTAATCCATCACAGGGAGTTAGGTTAGGACTTCAACACGTGAATTTGAGGGGACACAATTCAGCCAATAACAACCTCTTTAGTGAGAGGAGATGTGAGTTCACATAGCAAAGCAAGCAGAAATAAAAACTGAGGTCACTTTTGCCATTACCAACCCCGTATGGCAACACCAATCTAGCTTTTGCCCCAAGCTAGACCAAGCTCTATCAAAAGGAATCAGGGTTCTCTGAAGAAATGGCTGTTTCAATGGCAGAGACAGGAAATATACAAGACATGCCTAGAGCACCTTATAGTGCCAGAAAGTCAGGAAGTGTTCAAAATGGAAAGGAAAAAAAAATCCACACATTGATGGCAGAAGGTCAGAGACATAGAAGACAACTGAAAGAGATCCCAACAACCAAAGTTGGAATAATTTAACAACAAAATAAAGTAGTATTAGATTATAATCCAAAATATAAAATAAATATGCACGAGTCCATTCTGATATAAATAAATGACTGAACAAGTTAATAAATGAAAGGGGGAAAGGAAGAGAAGGGACAATTTACCTGTGCACAAGAATTCCAAATAAATTATATAGATACTCTTCTCTAAAGGAGGGGAACATAACTCTCCACTCTCCCTAAGTGTGAGGACTGCAAAGTGACTTCCTTCCAAAGAGGACAGTATGATGGCAGGGGGGTGGGGGAGGAAACTTCACAGTGCAGAAACCTGACAAAGCCTATCTCAGCAAAGTGATCAAGGTCATATGATGAGATGAAAAAGGCACTTTACTCTGTGGTTTTCCTCCTAAAAACCTATAATCCCAGTCTAGTCATGAGAAAAACATCAGACAAATTCCAATAGGGGGCACCCTACAATATACCTGAGTATACTACTCGAAATGGTTAAGATCATTGAAGATAAGCAGAGTCTGAGAAAACATCACAACCAAGAAGAATCTAACAAAATATGATAGCTAAATGTAACATGGCATCCTGGACAGAATTCTGGAACAGAAAAAGACATTCGTTTATTCATCTTTTGTTAGTTTAACCTATGAACTTTGGTTCACTGGTTAAAACACTGGTTCCCTGGTTATGACAAATATACCATATTAATGTAAGATGTTAATGGGGAATAGGGGGTAGAGGCTAAATACTCACTTTTTTTACAAGTCTAAAACTGTTCTTTAAAAAGCTATTAATACAAAAAAAATGATAGAGTTGAACGGATAAACAGATACACAATTATATTTAGACATTTAAACTATTCTCTCAACAATCAAAAGAACTAGACAGAAAATCAGCAAAGATATAGAGGAAATCAACAACACTATCAGCCAACAGGATCTAATCAACATCTGTAGGATGCTGCACCCAACAATAGCAGAAACACATCCTTTTCAAGCACCATAGATCATATGCTAAGATAGACCATATCCTGAGCCATAAAACAAACCTCAACAAATTTTTTAAATTTATTTCTTTTTAAGTGAAGGATAATAGCTTTACAATATGTGTTGGTTTCTGCAATACATCAATATCAATCAGTCTTAGGTACACATGTTCCCTCCCTCTTGAACCTTCCTCCCACCTCCCACCTCCCATCCCTCTATAAACCTCAACAAACTTAAAAGAACTGAACTCATACAGTTCAGCTTCACTTGGGGAATAAATAAGTTCATAGTTCCTATTTATTTATTTAGTAAACTTACTTACTGAAACATAATTAAATCTTCCTAGCACAGAAGCTGGCATAAAAGTCTGATGAATGAATGAAACAGTCAATGAATGACGGAATGAAGGAACAAAAAAGAAAATATCTTGTTGTTCAGTTTCTCAGTTGTGTTCAGCTCTTTGCAACTCCGTGGACTACAGCATACCAGGCTTCCCTGTCCTTGACTAACTCCCAGTTTGCTCAAATTCATGTCCATTGAGTCGGTGATGCCATCCAACCATCTCATCCTCTGTCACCCCCTTCTCCTCCTGCCCTCAATCTTTCCCAGCATTAGGATCTTTTCCAGTGAATCGGCTCTTCCCATCAGGTGGCCAAAGTATTGGAGCTTCAGCATGAGTCCTTCCAATGAATATTCAAGACTGATCTCCTTTAGGATTGACTGGTTTGATCTCCTTGCTGTTCAAGAGACTCTCAAGTCTTCTACAGTACCACAGTTCAAAAGCATCAGTTTTTTGGTGTTCAGCCTTCTTTATCATCCAACTCTCACATCTGTACATGACTAGTGGAAAAACCATAGCCTTGACTATATGGACTTTTGTCTGCAAAGTGATGTCTCTCCTTTTTAATACACTAGGTTTGTCATAGCTTTTCTTCTAGGGAGCAAGGATCTTTTAATTTCATGGCTGCAGTCACCTTCTGCAGTGATTTTGGAGCCCAGGAAAAAAAATTCTGTCACTGTTTCCATTTTTACCCCATCTATTTGCCATGAAGTGATGGGACCAGATGCCATGATCTTAGCTTTTTTTTTTTTTTCTTAATTGAAGGATAATTGCTTTACAGAATTTTGTTGGTTTCTGCCAAACATCAACATGAATCAGCCATAGGTATACACATGTTCCCTCCCTCTTGAACCTCCCTCCCCATCCCACCGCTTTAGGTTCTTACAGAGCCCTGGTTTGAGTTCCCTGAATCATACAGCAAATTCCCATTGGCTATTTTACATGTGGTAATGTAAGTTTCCATGTTACTCTCTCCATACATCCCATCCTCTCCTCTCCTTTCCCACCCCCTCCCCGCCTGCCCCCCCCACTGTGTCCATAAGTCTGTTCTCCATGTCTGTGTCTCCACTGCTGCCCTGGAAATAATTCATCAGTACCATCTTTCTAGATTTCCATATGTATGCATTAGTATATGATATTTTTCTCTGACTTACTTCACTCTGTATAACAGGCTCTAGGTTCATCAACCTTATTACAACTGACTCAAAGGTGTTGTTCCTTTTTATGGCTAAGTAATATTCCATTGTATATATGTACCACTGCTTCTTTATCCATTTATCGGTCAGTGCACATGTAGGTTGCTTCCATGTTCTAGCTATCATAAATAGCGCTGCCACAAACATTGGGTTACATGTGTCTTTTTCAATTTTGGTTTCCTCAAACCAAAATGTGCCTAGCAGTGGAATTTCTGGTTCATATGGTGGTTTTAATCTTAGTCTTTTTTAAGGAATCTCCATACTGTCTTTCATAGTGGCTGTATCAATTTACATCCCCACCAACAGTGCAGGAGGGTTCCCTTTTCTCCATACCTGCTCCAGCATTTATTGTTAATAGACTTTTTGATGATGCCTATTCTGACTGGTGTGAGGTGATATCTCATTGTAGTTTTGATTTGCATTTCTCTAATAATGAGCGACGTTGAACATCTTTTCATGTGTTTGTTAGCCATCTGTATGTCTTCCTTGAAGAAATGTCTGTTTAGGTCTTTTTCCACTTTTTTATTGGATTGCTTATTTTTCTGATATAGACTTGTATGAGCTGCTTATATATTTTGGAAGTTAATCTTTTGCCTTATTTCATTTGCTATTATTTTCTCCCATTCTAGGGGTTGTTTTTCATGATCTTAATTTTTCAATGTTGAGTTTTAAGCCAGCTTCTTAACTCTCCTCTTTCACCTTCATCAAGAGGCTCTTTAGTTCCTCTTCTCTTTCTGCCATTAGAGTGGTATAATTTGCACATCTAAGGTTATTGATATTTCTCCTGGCAATCTTGATTCTAGCTTGTGACTCCTCCAGCCTGGCATTTCACATGATATTCTCTGCATAGAAGTTAAATAAGCAAGGTGACAATATAGAGCCTTGACGGACTCCTTTCCCAATTTTGAACCAGTCCATTGTTCTATGTCCAGTTCTAACTGTTGCTTCTTGACCTGCATACAGGTTTCTCAGGAGGCAGGTAAGGTGGTCTCATTCTGGAGGCCAACAAGCCTCTTTTTACAAAAGGTTAAGAATGAAAAATAAATGATGCTCTGGAATAAGTTGCAATATTACTTTATTAACTTTATTCAGTATCAACTTAAGGTATTTTCTATGATTTATTGAAAAATTTTTTTTATTCAGAAAAGCTCACAGAATCCCAGACACAGATTTCTCTGTGCAGCAAAAGGGCTGCATTCTGACATGGCCAGCAGATGGCACCAGAGGATGTGGTTCAGCCCATGAGGCTGTCCTTTGATAAACCTTAGGCGTCCACCTTACCTCTCCCAGCCATGGCAAGGAGAGCCAGCCTAGTCCTTCCCTCTGTGGTCTGAGGAACCCCACCAACCACTGCTAGAGCGAGGATAGTGAGGATGCAGAGAGGAAAGTGTAGAAAATGCTAGTGTGATGCTTGACCAGAAAAAAAGGCAAGGAAAAGTGGGAGCAAGATGAGGGCTGGAGATGGGAAAGACATGAGGAAACTGAAATTCAAGTGGGAAGGACGGAGTAGACAGAATGGGGATAGGAAATGATAAGCAAAGTCCCTGAGTTTGGGGCATGGAACACACAAGTGATGGATCACACACTTCCATTGTGTCTGGGAAAGGTCCAAAAGGATGGGTGTGTAGGCTAGCAGTCTGTAGATTTGTCAAGGAAGTTGCCTCCAGGTGGCTTCAATTTTGTCTGTGAAGCAGGAGACCATTCTGCCTGTTGACAGTTGGTAGGGGAGGGGAGGTGTCAAGAGCTGAAGGGGTGCGGCAAGGGAAGCCAATGAGGACTGCTGGCCAGCACCAAGGATGTGTCTGGAGGATAACACTATCCAGCTCAGCTTCTTCTTTCACTTGCTCATTCATTCTGCAAATATTCATTGATAACCTACTATACCAGGCACTATTTTGGACAATGAAAGCTACAACCTGGGAGAAGAGGAAGGGGAGTAGACAGACAAATAAATAGACATATAAATTTAAAAATACGACATCATAGAAAGAGAAGGACTCTGAAGAAACAGGCAAAGGAAAGGATAGGGAGTGCTGAGAGTGCTGTGAATTGGGTGCTTAGGGAAGTCTTCCTAGAGAAGTGACAGTTGATTAGAGGGCTGAATGCAGCAAGGAAATGAGACCTGCATTACTGGGGGCAAGCATTCCAGATAAACAGGACAGCCAGGGTCAACAGAAGGGGGCCATGGAAGGAAGTGGGGCCAAAGAACAGGTCTCACAGGATGCTGGAAATCACGTTTTATGCTCAATATGATGGGAGTCATTGGAACTAGGGAAGCACATAACTGGATTCATATTGGTAAAAGGATCATACAGGCTCCTGTGTGGAGAACAGGCTAAAAGGGCCAAGAATGGAAGAAGGGACACCAGCTGGTCAGTATGAGAAAACACGCTTCATGTGAATCTACCATTATGTTTGGCAGACCATTAGTTAGACAGGCAGTTCTCTGAACGGAACCAACAGCCCACTTCACTCTTGCACCTTGGGCTCACCCATGGGCTCATTTTGACAGGCCCAAGCAAACTCAGAGTGACTCAAACCAGAGGCACTTCACTCCTACCTTTGTGTGTAGGTAGGATAGACATTCCAAGTGGCTCCCTTGAAGAGGAATACCTGTTCCAGAGCAGCAAAAGTAGAAAGAGACAGTACTTGCCGAGTATCCCAGGGAACCTGAAGGGACATTTCAGAGGCTTCCACAAAGCCACAAACCAAACACGTTGGTCATGGATTCACTGATGCCCACAGCACAAGAAACCATGCAACCAGTTCTACGCAGAATCCAGTGCCAGCAAAGAACTTGCCTCTCAAGTGACCTCCCACAAGTGACAAGAATTGTGTAGCGGTTTTGGCACAAGGTGTTGGCCTGAGCATGCCATACTAGACACCCCTAATAGAGTCATTTGAGTATCAATCAATGCCACAACTATTTAAGAAACCTAGTCACAGCAAGGAACTCATCCTGCATATATCTAGTCTTTGGTACATATTTCAGGTGGGCATATCCACTGATTTCTCTTGGGTGTATAGCCAGGAGTAGAAATGCTGCCAGGCACAAGGCCAGTTTTTTTAGTAGAGTCAGCCACACAGTCTCCTAGTGTGGTTGCACCCATTCCACCCTGTCCATAATGGCCAAAGATTTTTTATTTTTTCATGGCACCAGCCTCTTTTTATCACACAATAACTAGAATAACCCTTCACTGTAGCACCAAACAGTGTAGCATCTGGGCTTCCCAGGTGGCGCTAGTGGTAAAGAACCTGCCTGCCAATGCAGAAGACATAAGACGTGGGTTCAATCCCTAAGTCGGGAAGATCTTCTGGAGAAGGAAATGGCAACCCATTCCAGTATTCTTGCCTAGAGAATTTCATGGACAGAGGAGCCTGGCAGGCTACAGTCCATAGGGTTGCAAAGAGTCAGACACGATTGAAATGACTTAGCATGCACGTAGCACCACAGACCTTGGATTAAGTCTCACACCACCTATCTGAGTGAACTTAGGTGCTTTACTTGCATTACATAACCCTCTGGAGGTTTTGTTCCCTCACTGGGATGAATAACCCTCCCTAGTCTGAGGTGGCATCCATGTTAAATTAAGAGACTTTATGTCTAGCCCTTAGGTGTGGGCAAGTCAGACTACCCTCCTGACTTGCCCACACCTGAAGCTCCCCAACTTGCAATCACCAAATAAACTTCACCCTCATAGAGTTCTTTAAATTCCTACACTTGTGATCTGGAAATTCTACATATTATTTTCATCCTTCATACTTATGTGATGGGCCACTTCTGTCCATCCCAGCACAGTTAGTGGGGAAAATCCAGGACATGGGGAGAGGTCAAGACTGGATCAGTGCCTCCAAAGGTGAAGTTAATAGGAGGTGCTTCCTGCAACACAACTCTGGCCAGGAAGGAGACAGACACTCTTTGACCAAAGTAAGATCCAAATTTACATTGTCCATTTAAGTACCATTATGGTAAGATCTCCAAGACACATTATGTTAACTAAAACAAGCAAAACGCAGAATAGGATGGTTACTTTGTCACTTTCACATAAAAAGAGAGAAGGGTATATATTTATAATAACATACCTAGAAATGGATACCCAACATACTAATATATATAATATAATAATACTGCCATTGGGAGCGGCAGTGGTACTGGGGACAGCTGTGGGAGGAGGTTGTTCAGTGTATCCTTTTATGACTTTTGAATATGAACTACATTGATCCTCTATTCAAAAAATATTTTAATACATATACTTACAATTTTTCAAGTTACCCATGAGGTGAATATGAATCCCTAACATAAACTCCATGAGGGGTGTTGGGTAGGTCAACCTTCACAAAACAAGAATGCCTCTTTGACATGTGCATGTAGGTGGGTGTGCATGTAGGGGTGTGTAGAGGCATATCCATATGTTGGACATCATCACAGCCTAAGATGAGGGAGGAAAGGATATACAGTCATATGCAAGGCAGTGCCCTAAGCTTCTGAAGAGCTAACCCAACCTAAATTCACCCAGAGTTAAACCAGGGGGTGTACCCAGCTTTTCATCACATCCTCCACCACCCAACCCCTCAACTCTGTAGAATTCAAACTCTGTCACTAGAAATCTGGAGTAAGAAAATGACTAAATGTTCTTTAAGGTTTTATGCATGTGTGTATAGTTGTACTTGTGTATAGGTGTAAGGGTGTGGGGTAGTGTATCTGTGTAGGAGTGATGTATGTGTGTGTGGATATATAAGGGGTATATATGTGTTTGTATGTTCTCACCCGCCAAAGTGGCTGTACTTCTGTACTTCCCAGAAGTTTTTCTGGGAAAAAACTTCCCAAAAGTCAACTGGAGCATCCCAAGGGCAGAACCAGGACCTTCTGGCCAGATGACATTGATTAATAATTAACACATCTGAGCTTGGCATGGACCCACAACAGGTGTCCCCTCCCATAAAACTCACCTTCACTCCATGTGGCTATGTTACCCAATCAGGCTCTGAGAAGTCCAACAAAAGGCCAGTCCAACCCAGGCCTATCTTGAAGGAGTTGGGGCTGGATAATGAGGGACTCTTACTCCTAAGGGGTCTCACTGGCAGGAAGGGAAACAATCACAAACAGATTGGGGTAAGAGGGTGCCCCTTCCACTAAAGGCAGACATCTTCCTTTCTGGGGGTATATCCAGACCATAGATGGCCCCATGACCCCCTCAAAGAAGATATGACAAACACACAAAGACATACATACACACACATGTACACACATACACACACACACACATGAGGCTAAGAAAAATGGAAGAGAGAAGCTGAGGAGCACAGGAAGGGCAAGCCTCTTTTATTATCCCAAAATGCAAAGTATTGAAGGCACTTACAATAACAAGGTTAGAGATGAGGGGAAGCATAGGGAGGTCAGAGATCAGAGCACAGAGGTAAATCAACGGACCCCACCCTGGTCACCACCCAGGAAGGAGAAAAGAAGAAGCTACAGGGCCAGGTCTGAAGCCAGTTAGATGTCAGCTCTACAAAAGACACAAATCCATTCTAGAGAGGATTCAGAAATGAGTACACAGCAGCAAGGAGCAGGGCTGGCAGTCACGAGTTAGTGGTTCTTTAAGGAACACGCTCGGCAGCAATGAGGCACTCAGGTCCCCTGCTGGAAGAGGTCTCGGTACATCTCAATGAGACGGGCAGCCTCACGCTGGCCAGAGAGCAGAGCACCATGGGTGGTGGAATAGTACTTGCGATGGGTGGCCTCACCTGAGAACAGCACCTGCATAGGCTGGGCAGGGGGACAGGGAAGTGAAAATGGAGGAGCAAGAAAGGCTACCTGTCTGCCCCAGAACCCCCATCCTTACTACAAGTTAGAAAGGAATAAGTGGGCATCTGAGATGCAGGTATTGCTACTTCCATAGGATGAGGAGTTGCCCATCCCACCTGCCCATCTTCCCCTGCTTCTTCCCCAAACATCCGGGCCTCAGTCCTTTTTGCTCTGAGGTTTTTGTGAGTCCTGGTTCTACAATTTCAGAAATTCACACTGCCTCTTACTAGTGAACTTGGGGAATGATTTAACCTCCCTAAGCTTTGATTTCTTCATCTCCAAAATGAGTTTATACCATCTACTTCTGAGAGTGATTGTAAAGATTAAGTGAAATAATGTATCTAAAGGACTCAGAACCTGAAGGAATATAAGAACTCAATAAAGTTAGGCAGTAATTTAACAAACCTTTATGGAGCCCCTATTAGGTTCCAGGGACTGTTCTGGGCACTTGGAAGATAAAAGGTGACCAGGCAGCTGCTTTGAGGAGCTTCCTTGCTGGTGGGGAAGCCAGACACGAAACCCAATTACTAAATGGCATCATACGTGATGTGATGGGTGTGTGGGCGAGGTGCTGAGAGCCCAGAAAAGAGGCCCTCTGTCAGGGAGATCACACAAAGCTTCCCAGAGGACAGGACCTTTGGGCTTCTTCTCAGAAGATGCTAGATAAATAAACAGGCAAAGGATGTTTCAGGAAGAAGGAAAAATGGGGGCAGAAATGCATCTCCTAGGCCTTGTCTAGGAGATGGTGAGAATTTTGGCAGAGCCAAGCTTAACATCAAGAAAGTAGGCTGTTTAGGTGGGGTCCAAGCATAGAACAAATGCTTGCATTCCAAGCTTGAGTTTGGATTTTATTCCAATGTACCTCAAACTGAATGTGTTGGGGACCTTGTAGAATGAGGTTTTCATTCATCAGGTCTGGGGTGGGCTGCGAGTCTGCATGTCTAAATGCTCCCACATGGTGCCAGTCTGCCGGTCCGTGGACCACCCACCTTGAGTAGTGAGGTTTTAACCCACCAATAAAGAGTCTGCAGAGGTGGTTAAGCTGAAAGGGGGGCACATATTGTGGCAGAGGGCAAGCCGCCTACTCCACATCCTTTCTCTCTCTCCTCAGTAACAAAAATCCTGACCTTTAACTGGGTCCATGGACAGAAGAGCCTAGCAGACTACAGTCCATGGGGTCGCAAGAGTTGGACATGACTTAGCGACCAAACCACCACCACCACTGCCATCCAGGAAAAAAAAAGATGTATCCCAGTCTCTCTAGCAGCTGGTAGAGTCATGTGACTAAGTTCTAGCCAATCAACTTCAAGTGCACTATTGCTTAGGGACACAGACTCCTCCAAGGGTTCCCTTCTTTCACTCATCAGCCTGTCACAGACATGAGAACAAGAGCAGCAGCCTCCATAGCCCTCTTGGATCCCAAGGTGGCCTGGAAGATGGAGCCAGGTGCTACTGATACTGGGCCCCAACATCTACCTCCAGATTTCCTCTTGTGTGACCTAAGTAAACTTCTGTCTTGTTTAAACTGCAGTTTGTTTTGCTTTTTGTTATGTGCGCTAGTCCTAACTGATGCAGGGGACAAGAGAAGGAGGACGGCTATAGCAGCAGCCTTTCCTAAGCACAGCCAGGACAGGCACAACACATTGTTTAACTGCCATCTTCTTCATCAATTACACCAGAGAATTATTTTAAATATAATTCTGTTGGGGTTTTAACATTTATTGTACGGGTATGCTTGGTGGGGGGAACTCAAAATCTATAGGAACAGAAATATATATAAATAATTTCAATTTATTATTTTTCTATATGTTTTACAATATAGTTACTATAATTTGGGGGAAGGTCAGTATTTTGTTTTATTTTCTAAAACAAATTGAGAGAAATAAGCAAAACATACTGGGTCAGTGCTGCCCAACAGAACTTTCCACAATGACAGAAATGCTCCATAGTGACACACTCTAACGTGGCAACCATGAGTGACAGGTGGCTCTCAAACTTGAAATCTGGCTAATGCAACTGAGAAACAAAATGTCGTATTTATTACTTTAGATTTTAATTAAATTAAATGTGGCTAATGGCTACCATATAGGACAGCACAGAATTAAAAGGCTCGGTTTTTATAGTCTCAAGAAAGCATTTAAGATATCCTAGTTTGACTCTGTCTGTTCTTCCAGATGTTAAGTGTCCTTTTTCTCGTTTTCTCCATCATTACAGGAGCTACTCCACCTATCTTACCTTGGCACTCCTCCCCTGGACCGAACACACATACCAAACACCCGCCCTCACAGACCCCTCACCCTGCAGCCGTCGCCTACCCAGCACACCCACACTCACCGCTGTCTTGGAGCTCTCTGTGTACGGCAGGGGCTTGGCCAGCTTCTCCACATCTGCCCCACTTGAGCCCACCTGTGTGTATGAATAGGATCCCCGGAAGTAGGGGTTGCTGCCCCAGGCTGAGCGCAGGATTCGCCGAGGCTTTGGGATATTGGGGTTCCCTGTTGGGGAGTGAGAAGAGCCAGGGGGAGGGAGGATGAGAAATGGTTGTACAAAGAAGACTCTCCTGAGCAGACAACTCCTATTGTACCTCGGGGGCTCCAGGAGGCCAGGCATGAAGAAGGGAGGGAGGGAGGCTGGGGTTCAAGCTGTACACCCCTCAAAGTCTCCTTGTAATCCCCCAGAAAAACACCTCCTCTCCATGGGCCTTAATTTTCCTATCTGAAAAACATCCCAGATAATCATGTTCCCCCTTCCAACTTCAGGGGTTCTTGTGGGGCTCTTCTGGGATAGTGCAGGAAAGATGTTCAACTAAAAATCAGACAAAACAACCACAAGTCCATCTCTTAGCAAGACAACATGAGTAGGAAGTGGGCAATCTGAGGTTTTGGGGGTGATATCTGAGATTTTCACTATCAGCCTTAGAAACAGAGAAGAAACACAGAGCCTGTGATCTTGAGTGTCTCAAATTCCAAATGGAGAAAGCTTGCAATTTAGGAGGCCAAAGCCAAGACACAGTGACCTACAGCATCTCTCCCAAGGGGTGCACCACCTCAGTTTCACAAACTGGGGATGAGGATGCTAGTACTGGTTCAGGAGACTCAGAGGGTCTAGAGGAGGAGGACAGACAGAGCGAGGCCTGTTGAGCCGGTGGCGGGACAAGGACCGGGACGCACCTGTGAACTGCCGCAGCATCTCTGTGCAGATCTCGGCCACTGCCTCGTCATCACACTTCTCCATGACAAGGGCCTCCTCCCCACAGATCCAGCCACTCAGCACATGGCCGTAGCGCTCAGGCGGGTAGAGGACATCAAAGCCACAGATCTTGCGGTACCAAAGCTCGGGCGGGTAGGTGAGCGTGCAGCTCTCCGCCTCGTCCTCCCACACAAACCGTAGGCTGTTGCACTCGGGGCCCCAGAAGGGCTCCTCGAATTCTAGAAAGATCTTGTCAGTGGTGCCGATGCCCAGTCGGTGGATGGCAGCCACCTTCTCGGCGGGCAGGCCTGGCCGAAAGAAGCTGGCATGCTGCCTCTTGAGCACGCCCAGTGACACGGTCACGATCACATGGTCTGCCGGGATCACCTCGCAGTCCTCGCACTCCACCACCACTGGCCACTGCTCATCCTCATCCTGCCTCTCCTCCCGGGGCTCCTCTCCACCCTGACTGCCCTCCCCGGCATCATGATTATGGTCACCCTCATCCCGGGGCTCAATCTCAGGGCCCCGAGGGCGGGATGAGGCCTGGTCCCAGTGAACACAACGGACGGGTTTCCCCAGCTGGATGACGTGGGCTGGGATGCCCTCAGCCAGCAGCTCCACAACCCGCATGAAGCCCGAGGGGATGACGTGGTGGGCACCAGGAATCTCAGTCCATTCCCCAAAGGCGCTCAGGGACACCTCATCCATGCTGTGCGAGCTACTCTCACAGCTTTCCACCTGTGGGAAGAGCCAGAGGGGAGCCAGGTGACCGCCAAGGCTGGGCAGGGATAGAAGCAGGACTTTAGGGCAGTGCTGCCCTTCTCGGACCCAACTTCCCCAGGGTCAGTCTTTCTCATTCTGGCATTTGTACTCAACAGAGCTCCGAGATGGCAAAGATACCTTCAGGTACTGTTGGATCATGGCGAGTTTCAGGCGCTTGGTGGCCTCTGGATCATCAGGGTCATCCCTGATGCGGTTGCGCACCTCCTCTCGGGTGAACACCCCCACGCTGTTCTGACTCTCAGCATTAACTGGTTTACCATGCCGGAAGAACTCCTGGGTCAAGTTATAGACCTGCAAAGAGATCCCAGGAGACTGAAAACACATTCACTCATCCCACCACCATCTCAGACCTACGGGTTCTAACAATACTCACCATCTCCAAAGTGTTCCCGGATATGCTGAGCCTCGTGGTGAATTAATGTGGTGCTCAGCTTTGTACTGAGGCTGCACCAACAAAATGGAGGCTTGGGGATGGCAAACTGAACCTGCGCAGTCGGCTTCCTTGCCTCCAGACACAGGAGGTGGGATGGGCCCCAGAAGCTCTCTTACTGAACCCCTGCTTAGAACAAAGTGAAATGTCTGCTGCCTGTACAGTGTGTGGGAAAGGAGCTGCCCTTTCAAGCGCTCTACATAGCCAAGCGTACTGCCCACTAAAGAACCCACGTCTACACAGATAACCCTTTTTCAAGAACCAAATGCACAGACTCTCCCCTGACATTCCTGTCCAAGTGTATCTGCTTCACCCTCTCCCAGGAAGGCAGTATGGAGCTGTGTCCTGGCTGATGTTTTGCAGGGGAAAGAGCAAAAGGGGCCCATACATTGACAGGAATGTGTCTACCCTGCAACCCAGCTCTAGGACTGCTGAGGAAGAAAGGTGGTATGGCCCAACCCCCACCAATCCCCCAAGGGAAAAGCCTCCACATAAGATAGAAACATAAATTAAACATTTCTCTGAATATAAAGAAAGCAAGTTAAATTATTCCTTTTTCTTCTCCCAACAGTCACAAGATGCTGGGTGTTTGGCTTTAACTGAAGTCCTCAGCAAATTCCTCACCTAGTACCATTGCCAAGGAGTCAGGCTTTCAACTTGCCTCCTCCCCCTTAGATTCTTCCCCTTGGCGATAAGAAACAGAGTAGCCAGCCAGTCAGCTTGTGTCAACTAAAGGCCAAAATGCCCAGCTGAGGACTAACAGATTTACATGATTCTTTGTGTCAGCCACTGACTAGGACCGCCATAATTGAACATGCATTTGTCATGTGAGTAGTCTCCTGTCCTAGGTTAAATGACATCTTCCTAATGTGACCCAAGGGAAATGGGATGGGTCTGTAAGAGCTAACAATATTCACCCCATTTCTCATTAAGCACTTTTCACTGGGATCTCATTTACCCTTCAAGACACTATGAAGTAGGTATAACTGTGTCTGTTTTACAGATGAGGAAAGTAAAGCTCAGAGAGGCTCAATAACTAGCTCATGAATATACAAGTATATACCATTCTACATGAATGGTAAAACTGGTACCTGAGTCAAGGTAATCTTGCTCCAGAAATTAAGCTCTATATGATAACTACTGAACAAATTCATCTATTTGTTAACAAATATAACACATTCAAATGAGTAGCCCTTCAAAGTCATCGCCTTGGGAGGGAGGCTACATATTTATTATGAAGCCACCCTCAGGCAAGGCTTCACATGCTTAGAGCACACCTCTTCAGAATGGCCTCCAGCACTGTCTAAGAGCTATATAAGGAAATCTCTCTCATGACCTGATGGTTAACACCGTTTCCTTCTGACTCAAAGCAGCACCACTTAGAATGATAATAATAATAATGTAATGTTAGTCGCTCAGTCATGTCTGACTCTTTGCAACTCCATGGACTGTAGCCCACCAGGCTCCTCTGTCCATGGAATTCTCCAGGCAAGAACACTGGAGAGGGTGGCCATTTCCTCCTTCTCCAATGATAACCTACCTTTATCTGTCCTACTTCCCATGACTCACACTCTTGGCTTTCAAAAATCAGACCCACAAGCAGAAGTTGATGATGATCTACCTTCAAGAACGTTTAAAAGAACCAGTAAGTTATGAACCCTGAATGTCATTCTCAAGAGGCATCCATGCTTGAAGCACTCACAGTAACATAGGAATCAGGACAGGACTGATTCTCAGTACACCAAGAAGGTCTACTTTCAAGAATACTAATTCTTACTTGCTAAATATTGAGTGAGAACACACAACACTATAGGATTGCACACAACATACTGTATGAGTGCACACACATAAGACAGTGAGTGTTCCTGCCTTCCATTGGGCAGGGACAACCCAAAGCAAGGGTCATTTCTCCTTTCCTATGCCCACGAAATATAAAAAATGTATAACAGGTAAGTGTTGACCAGTTTACTTACCTAAAGTGAAGGGTCATTACACTATAAATGGAAGCTATCAGAAGGCAAGACCTACAAGTTACCTTGCTTGTTTTTTGCAGTTCACAGCAAAGTTACTAAAAATATTAACTTTTTTTAAAGCTGGAATAAGACAAGGGCACATTCCTTAACTTCAGACTATACTACAAAGCTACAGTAATCAAAACAGCATGGTACTGACACAAAAACAGACACACAGATCAATGGAACAAACTAGAGAGCCCAGAAATAAACCCACACACAATTAGTCTATGATAAAGGAGGCAGAATATATATGGGGAAAAGACAGCTTCTTCAACAAGTGGTGCTGGGGAAACTGGACAGCCATATGTGAAAGACTGAAATTAGAACATTTTCTCACACCATATACAAAAGTAAACTCAAAATGGACTAAAGACCTAAATGTAACAATGGAAATAATGAAACTCCTAGACGAGAACATAGGCAGAACACTCTTTGACATAAATTGAAGCACCTTTTTTCTCCTAAGGCAGAAGAAACAAAAGCAAAAACAAATTTAATTCAATCTAAAAGTTTTTGCACAGCAAAGGGAGTCACCGACAAAACAAAAAGACAACCTACTGAATGGAAAAATATATTTGCAGATAATATGACCAATAAGGGGTAATATCCAAAATATATAAACTGCTCATACAACTCAATTTTTAAAAAAATCAACTTGATTAAAAAATGGGGAGAAGACCTGAATACACATTTTTCCAAAGAAGAAGTACAGATGGCCAATAGGCATATGAAAAGATGCTCAACATAGTTAATCATCAGAGAAATTAAAAATGACAATGAGATATCACACCTATCAGAAGAGCTATCATCAAAAAGAATACAAGTAACAAACATTGGTGAACATATGGAGAAAACAGAACCCTTTACCCTGTTGCCAGTAATGTAAATTGATGCAGCCACTATGGAAAATATGGAGGCTCCTCAAAATATTAAAAATTTAACTATCACATGACTGAGGAATTCCACCCCTGTGTATATATCCAAAGAAAAAGAAAATCTAATTTGAAGAAATACTTGTACCCCAAAGTTCACTGCAACATTATTTATAATAGCCAACCTATGGGAGCAATCTAAGTGCCCATCAACAGATGAATGTATAAAGAAGATGTTAGATAGATATAGATATAAAACATAGTTACATATGTAGTATACACACACGTTTTATATACATGTTAGATAGATATAAACTATATTGTTATATATATGTATATATACACACACACATTGGAATTTTACTCAGTCATAAAAAAAGAATGGAAATCTGAAATTTTCAACAACATGCATGGACCTAGAGGGTATTATATTTACTGAAATAAGTGTGACAGAGAAAGACAAATACTCTATGTCATCACTTATATGTGAAATCTAAAAAATAAACAAACATAATGAAACAGAAATAGACTCAGATATAGAAGACAAACTAGTGGTTACCAGTGGAGAGAAGGAAGGAATGAAGGGTAAAACAGGGGTATGGGATTAAGAGATAAAAACTACTATGTATAAAAATAAATAAGCAACAAATATATATTGTACAGTACAGGGAAGTATAACCATTATCTTGTAATAACTTTAAGTGGAGTATAATGTATAAAAATGTTGAATCACTATGCTGTACACCTGAAATTAATATAATATTATAAATCAACTATACTTCAATTTTAAAAAATCAGTTATAATTCTATATACCAGGAACAATTAGAAAATAAGGGTTTTTTTAAAGTTATCATTTACAAGAGTGTCTAAGAACATTAACAACAATAATCATACACATTTACCTGGTAACAAATCTAATAGATATTTAAGGGCTTTCTGGGGAAATATTTAATCATAAGTATCAATAATCTCTTCCCTAGTACTTCTCCTCTCATTGTCTTCATTCTACCCTCAAACTAGGGCCCAGAGAATGTACAGACATGACCAGGGTCACAGAAAACCCTAGTAAGTTGCCTAGCCCCCCACGGCCATCACACACACACACACACACACACACACAGTGCTGGTGTGCTCCCTGTCCCCCACACCCTTGTGCTCAACTATTCCCCTAATACCTCACCTCGTTGTATAAATCACTGAATTCCTCAACCACATCCTTGGGGATCCTGCAGCCACGGTTGGTGAGGTAGCAGGCCACGCCATTCTTGGAGTAGAGGCTGATGCGGCCCACACTGCGTTCTCCATCAGTTGTCTCTTCCAGGAGGCCATTGGCTTCTGCTAGATGATAGATAGGATTCCCGTGGGAGCCATGGATCCACGTGGCTCCCAGCTCAAAGGTAGCGTGTCCTGATGGCAAGAACAGGCTCTTAGCACGGCAAGGACTCTTCAAACAGGGCCAGAACACTGCCTCATCTTCCTTCTCCAAGGGGATCCTTCCATCCCCAACAACAGGCCAAGGAAGGGGATTAGGTCCCCCTCTGGCAACGAACCAAAGTCTTCAGTGAAAAGCACCCAGTAAGAAACCACATGCAGCACAAAATGGATTCCACTTTATAAATAAGGTAACTTCCACCCTCAGTGACTCTAACGACACCAAGTCGCCTCACTGGAATAATTAGAAGATTCTCCTTCTGTGATAACATCAGACAATAGGCCCTCCCTCCTCAGTGGTGCCTCCCTCTCAGGAGAAATTCTATGGTACCAGAGGGTACCACGTGGTACAGGTACCTGAAATACCCAGTGAGGAGGCCCAGCCTTCCAGACCCAAGGTCCCCATTTGGCCTTATTCCAATTCCTCAAAATCCAGTGGTTCAGGAATTTAAGCCACTCACCCAGATGGAAAACAGCCAACTCCTAACTCAGTCTAGGGCAGAAGAAAGAGGGAAAACATTCCAGTTTTGAAGACTCCTCCCCAAGGCAATCTAAAACAGACTTCTGGAAAAAACTAAGCTTTCTCATCCTATGGCACAGGTGGTGAAAACTTAAGAGACGGTTTGGGGTAAGGGAAACTCTTGGGCCCAAATTGGGACAAGGCTGGTGGCTCATTTTACCACCCCATCCATAGCCAAGGGACCAGATACTCTGAGGCAAGTTCCCACTGTGCCAGAGCCTATTTCCTCTTCTGGGGCTCAATTTCCTTTTCTCATGCTGCAGAGCCTGTGATATAGTTGCCTCCTCCCCTGCCTAGCTCCCAGGAAAGTTGAAACAAAGAAAGGAAAATATAGAGGAACATTTTTTGGTGTTTTGTTTTGTTTTTTGTTTTTGGAGGCCTGATTCAACACATCATGTATGATAACTTTTTTGCCAAGATGGACACAATAATTCCTCCTATCCTTACACACATGGCCCTTTGCAATGTGACTTTGACAGTCCTCCCATCAAGAGATGGAGTCTTTCCTCACCCCTTGAATCTGGGCTTGCCTTATGACTTGCTTTGATTAATAGAATGCAATGAAAGCAATGTTGTGGCTTCAGAGACTAGGCCTCAAAAAACCTTGTGCCTTCTATCCTCACCCTCTTAGACTGTGACCACCATGAAGAGAAACTCAAGTTTCTGGAACCACAGAACATCAGCAAATAAAGTGATATTGTTTTAAGCCACTATATTTCAGGCTGGTCTGTTATGCAGCAATAGCTATCTTATAAACAATAACAGACAACGATCACCCCTCACCCCAGGAATTGGGCATTCCTCTTTTTTTTTGTGCCTTCTCTTTCCTGGGCTGCTTCTAATTAAACCATCAGTTCAAAAAAAAAAAAAAAAAAAGCCCTGTAGCCCTGTATGCATCTATGTGCCAAACACAGAGCAAGAGAAAAAACAATCAACCTCAAACCACAGCCAGTAAGACAGAACTTCCTGGTGACTCTGGAATCAGGGGCAGGAATGTATGGGTCCCTTTGTCCGGGGAAAGTGGGCAGACTAGAAGGTATGAAAAGCTGGAAACCCAGTGCCTTTCTTCCACAGGGTTCAGGGAGGGGGGCTGGTCACTGGGGACATTTATCACTAATTATCCTTTAGGGCCTCAAGTTCCCCAAGGCATTTGTTTTTGTTTTTGTTTTGCTTCTTTTCAGCTTCCAAAAGAAGCAAAAGGGGCTTGCATCATGGACCCTTCCCAGGGTACACCAGAGAGTTCCAAGTCATAGTCACTGGGCAGCAATGTCCAGGCATGGGGTATCCAGGCATAAGCAGGAAGGAGGTGAACAGCTCAAGGTCAGCAACATCAGAGTTCCACCCTATCCCTCAAGCTTTACAAGGAGGTGGGGTGGTCTGAGCAGCCTCAGCCTTAGGATGTTTCCTGTCCTCCCCCACAGGCCTCTCACCTCTGCCGTCCTTGTAACCACAGGGTAGCGGGCACCATCTCTACAAATACCCTACAGTGTCCTTGGGGCTTCTGGTCATCACCACTGCCCTTACCACCGGGATTCACAGCTAGCATCTCACACTGCTGCAGGTCCAACTGCAGCCTGGGCTTTCAGCCCCAGGTGTCTGCACACACAACACCTACACGCTTGCCTGGACTTGCTCTCCCATAGTCTAGCAGAGTCTGCCTTGATCTGATTCCTCATATACATCATCTGTTCCTTCTTTTGACCAGCTATCCAATTCCCCTCATCACCTAAAGCCCACCCAAGCTCCCTCCCCTCCAAGGGAGGCTTCCAGCCACATGCATCTCCTCAGCCTCCTGTAGCCCCATTCCTTCCACTTCGCTCCCTCTACCAACTTCCCTGCAAAGCACATCTCAGTTGTCAACTACCACTGAGACTGGGCCATTTTCCTCCCGTCTTCCGCTTTTATGTCAGACCCTGAATGTCTCATCAAGACTTGAGAACCACAAATGGAGCCATCCCATCCCTAAAGCTCCTAGCCAGCCAATCCCTAAGACTCCTAGCCAGCCAGTTGGTGTTGAGCAGTCTCCAGGCTTCCCCCAGGAGGTCCCCCAGCTGACTGTCCTCAGGTTTCCACTGTGCTTTGGGACACACTTCCATCTTCACTGCCAACACATATTCCTGTGTCTGCCAGGGAAGACAGATATAACTTCACATATACCTTCCAGGAAATGCTCTAAGGAAGACTTTTAATGTGATCAAAGTTTTTTAAAAAATAAAAAGTTTCCCATGTCTCCTCAGCCTCTGCTTGTTCTAAGCCTGACCACCTACTTTTCTGAACCAATTGCCCCATTCGTCAAAAGTAAATGCACAGAATCTGCTTGGCCTTGCAGCCCAGGTAACAATAGACACAAAATCCTATGGAGGGTCAGTGTAACCCACATACACCAGGCCACCATGGGTAGTCCCACTGGGCCATTTTCATTGTCAGACCCCTTGGCTAGGAAACCCTGACCTCTGGCTGCATTTCAGGCAATCCCCCACCCTCTAGGACCCCTAGCTAAATCTGCCCACTCCTGGGGTGTGTCTCTTAACTGGTTGCCTTCTCCAGAAGCCTTAATACTCTGAAACCTACACAGATCCTCTTCCCAGACAATCCTAAGACCTGCCCATCACTCGCAAGGAGGCCCAAAGTCTTCTTCCACCTCCACTGCGCTGAGTTCCTATTGTCCCAGGGCTAGCTCTTAGTAATGGTATACTAAATCATATTCAAAAGTTAACAACTAATAGAAACTTTCACAATTCCCCTTCTTGTGAAGTAGAAACAAGTCTACCCACTACAAAGACAGTTGGGTTCTGGGTGTCCTCTCCCACCTAAACACTGTGAACTCTAGATTTTGTTCCAAAAACAGAGGCCAGACTCCCATTCCGCACACCTCAGAAGGGTGCTGAGGAGGCAAAGGAAGTTTCTGGAAAACGCCCAGGCAGCATGCATGGCAGAACACTAAACCCTGGGGAAAAAACTAAAATAACAAGATCTCAGGCTAGGCCAGGGCTCTGGGAGGCAAGAGGTGACCTAGGGAGATGACTGGACTGAGATGAACGAGGCACTCACCGAGTTTCACACTCTGCACGCGGCCCCCGATGCGGCTGGACGCCTCAAGCACAGTGACATCTGTAAAGCCCTGTTCCAGAAGTGCTCTGGCTGCAGCCAGGCCAGCCAAGCCAGCGCCGATCACCACCACACGAGGCTGTCCCCTTCTCCGCAGGCCACGACTGAGAGGGTCATCCGCGCTGTCGCCACTGGATTCACAACTTTGCATACCGTCCACACTCGCCTCCTAGGAACCTGGAGCGGGGAGGGGGTCACAGCTCACCTGCTCTGCCTTCACTTCACACCTGCCCCAGGAGATGCTCCCAGCCTCTGCCCTCAAGGGGGGACCTTGAGCCCTCTCGTTCTCTTCTGAGGATCTGGGCAAGAAGAGCCATCTCCAAAGGATGTAGGGAGGGAGGAAAAGAGGGAGCCATAAGGAAGGAAATAGGAAGGAGGTTATGTACTGTGGGCCCTCATCAGCAAATAGGAGAGCTGAGAGCCCATCCCAAACCCCTGAAATCCATCAATCCCACCCCAGATCAACTAGGTACTGCCTCTTCCTCAAGGACGAGACAAGAGTCAGCAAGAAAGAGGATGATCAAGAAGGTCAAAATTAGGAGAAACTGACCCTGGTGCTGCTGACCCCGGATCAGCACAACCCAGCACAGCCCAGCATCACTGCTGTGGTCCAGCTCACGGCAACCTCAGGATGCTCACATGGACCCCAGGATGCTGTACAGACCTCAGGGTGCTGGCACCAAGCCCAGGATACTTGTACCCACTGCACTAGACCCTCTACTCTCCCTCCCTGGCCTGGCCCTTCCCTGGCCCTCACTCTCCCTTCCGCTGTCTTCTCTTCTCCTCTTGCTTTCTGTTAGTCTTTCAGAGCCTAAATGAGGTGGCAATTTGGTGGGCAGGACACAGTCCCACCTTCCCCCAAGAAAGTGCCACGAGGCTGGTATTGAATGAACCTCTGCTATTCTGGGTAGGTCTCCGGTTTTTCGTCCCAGGCCACCCAGCCCCTCAGTCACCACAAAGCAGCAAAGAGCCCAGGAAACAGTGGACCGTGAGGACCTGTGGCACCAGAGGCCAGACATCAAATTGACAGTTACACTAAGCCAGCTTGCTCAGAGACGCCAGTCTAGGGAGCTGATGAGAGGCCAAAGGTGTCCCTGAATCTGGCCCCAGGGCTGGGAGAGGTTGCCCTTCTATTCCCAGAGTGACTATAAGGGCTTGAAGGTATCTTTGGGCCATCCCAAGGGGCCACTCAGCTCAGATCCTGTCCCCACTTCCTTCCTGACCCAAGCTGCCTTTGCTAAGCTTTCAGAGGCAGAAGTTGCATACTGTCCAGTTATTCAAACTATCCAGAGTATTCAAGACCTAACAACAAGGAAATGAATTCATGAGTGGAAAGTAGCTGCTGGGAAATGGAGAGGGGGCATATAATCTAATAAAGCTAAGAAAAACCCTTCCTATGACACAACAATTCCACTCCTAAGAAAACACCCAAGAGAAACAGGGTATACTCCACCAAACAGATACACTAGAATGTTCATGACAGCTTTCTTCATGATAACCAAAAACAAATATCCCAAAGGTCCATCAACAGAAGAATAGAAAAATATATTGTGCTATTTGTAGTGTACTCATACAAGGTAATATTCTTCAGCAACAAACAGAACCAACCTACTCTCAACAACATTACATTGACAAAAGAAGCCAGAAACAAAAGAGCACCACATTGTATGACTCTATTTATGTGAAATTCATGAAGCCGTAAAATGAATCTGTGATGCTAGAAGAGAGATTGGGAGGAGGGGAATGAGTGAAAGGGTCAGAAGGGAACTTTCTGGACTGGAAGGAAATGTACTATGAATGGTGGTTAGTGCCACTATATATATGTATGCATAAACACCTCAATAACTATTCCTGGCTCACTGTAAAAAATAAAAGCTGTGCACTAACCTTCTTCCCACACTTCAAGGTCTGACCACTTAGGTTTCCATCCCACCTCTAACATTTTTTTATCACAGATTTTAAAAGAGTTATTTTTTTAAATATGCTCAGGCTGAGAAGTTGCTCCTTGAACTCCTCTTCCCACTCTACCTGCCGATGTCACACCTGGACACGGACAGGAGTGTCACCCCATTTCTGCCCCCAAACTCTCTCCAAACTGCACCCCAACCCCCATCCCCCTGCGGCCCGACTCGGTGGAGGACCTATTCCCTAGAGGGCCGGAAGGTGGCGCCCGAGACACGGAGACCTTCAGAGGCAGGGGCTCCCCTCCTCCTAGGAGAACCTGTATCCCGGCTTCCACATTCTTCCTAGTGCGTCTTTGGTCTCGCCCACCCCCACCCCAGTGATGTTCGGTTCAGCCTCCTGGGAGCAAGGAGGTCAGAGCTGGCTCGAGCCCTTTCCTCCCCTCCCCCTTACCCTTCCTCCGCTCCCCCTCTGCCTCCCTCCGCTTCCTCCCCAGGTTCTCCTTGGGAGGACTAAAATTAGAGGTGAGGGTGTGGCTGCCTGTACCAGCGGCCGACTGAGAGGAAGAGTCCACCCCGCAGCGCAGGCAAGAAGCGTATTTTACATCAGGTTTGTAAACACGCAGGGAGCACCTGCGTAAACCAGTGTGAACACTGAGCACTCTGCTATGCTATGCGAGTATGGAGACTGCCCACCCTGCCCCGACGCCCCAGTTCTCCAAGCCTGGGGGGCTCTGCCTTGGCGTTGCTCCCTAGGCCTCCAGCCCCACCCCCAACCTGAGGCTGCTCCCCCAAAACAACCACTTTTACGCTGTAAAGGGGTGGGATTACTGCAGTGGTTCTCAGACCTTACAGATGGAACCCCTTCTCGAAAAGCTCCTGGGGAGACTAAGGTGTAACTGGGATGAAACGGGATCTCTCTACTCCTTCAAGTCCCTAAGGTCTCAGGCAGAACTCGCTGGCTCCCTGGAGCACCACCTCTGAAAACGTGGAGGAGTAGGATAACTTCAGCCTTGGGAGGCCTGTGGAGGGAAGAAATGCTTGGGGCAGCACATTGGGGTGGGGGATACCTAAACTTCCTGGCTTTCCAATCTCCATTTCTTTCTCTCTCAAGCGGTCCAGCTTGTCCTAACCTACATTATTATGACAGTTAAATAAGGCCTTATATGGATGTCTAGAGATTGTCAGCATTTTTAAGAGCCTTGTCCAGGAAAATCATTTGTAAAGTTCTGTAGCTAAATTTTTTAAAGATATTTATTTATTTATTTATTTTGATTGTATTTACTTATTTTAAAATAAGCATCTAAGAACTCATCATCTAACACAAAAACTAGAAAATTGATAATAACTAAATTTTTCTTAGACTGCCTTTGGTATAGGCTTCAGGAATGGATTGTAGGAAATGTGGGCAGGCAGTTTGCCTTTAAGATGAACCCTCAAAGGACCCCAAGTTCCCAACATATCAGAGACCTTCAACTTAAAGAGACATCATGCATAGGGTGCCATGGTATGTATGTTAGTTGCTTAGTTGTGTCTGACTGTTTGTGACCCCATGGACTGTAGCCTGTCAGGCTCCTCTGTCCATGGAATTCTTCAGGCAAGAATACTAGAGTGGGTTGCCATTCCTTAGCTTCCCAACCCAGGAATCAAACCCAGGTCTTCTGCATTACAGGCAGATTCTTTACCATCTGAGCTATAGAGAAGTCATGGTGGAAACAGGTAAACAGGGGCCATATCAGTCACCTATTCCACTGGCCCTCACTGCTAACCCTAGTTCTCTGTCTCCACAAGCCTTGTCCCAGATGGGCCTATCAACCCCTGGGGCCCTTAAGCCAGAGATGCCGCAAGCACTGTCCATAGATGGCAAAATGAGGCATCTCCATCCTCCCGTAGAGTCAGTCTACCCCGGGATACAAACTGAAGGGAAGAGAGGAAACTATACATAGCAACACCTACTGTGTGCTGGGCCCTCAGGTAAATGCTGAACTGGACTTTTGGACCCTCTGTTACCTCAGAATAGGAGGGAGCACATTTGTTTTCTGTTGATTTGTGCCATCTCTTCCTTTGAAATTTTTTAATTTTATGAGAAAATGCCTTACTGGAGAAGAAAAATCACTTAATGCTCCTTGGTGCTTGCCTCTCCTTCTCTTGCCTTCAGTAAATAAATAAATAAATAACATCCCCTTCCTTGATCTGTATGCATAGGAGAAACAGAACACCCTGTACTTTTGGAGCAGATAAAGGAGAGAAGAAAAAAGTGCTGGCTCAGCCATGCAGGGAGGGGGAGGGGGAGGAGGAGGCGGAGAAGGAGCAGGGACAGGGCGAAAGACTCTTGCCTTCGGGCTCCTGTTTCCAAGGCGAAACAGGGGTAGGAGGGTAGGGCCCCCATGTCCCCAGGCAGGCCATGCCTAGTCGCTTCAAGAAATCAGGTCCACCCCGGTTCAAGATATCCAGATGCCTCACCGCCTCCCCACCCAACCCCCACCCCCCTCCTACCCTCACTCCCATTTTCTCTGGCCTGCAGGCCACCACCTCCCCCTGCAGGCCAGAGCCAACACTGCCCCAACTGAACCCACCCAAGTAGCCAAATTGGAAAGCAGACAGAAGAGAGAATAAAGGGAAGAAGGGCCTTGTCCTGTGGCAGGGTCACCAAAGAAGGATGAGTGAAGGCTACGAGGCCAGGTGCCATGAATGGGCACCAGCCACCAAGCACATGTCCACTGCCACTTTCCCACCCGCCCTCTCTCAACATACTCACCAGTTTCATTTTGTCACCCTCAGAAATTTACCCTCCAAGAAATTTAAAAAGTAAAAGAGATAGTCCTATCCAACCCGCCAAGAAGAATTTCCTAATTGCCAGATACTAAAAACATGTTTTAGTCCTGGCCTCCAACATCTAAATTTGCTGAGCCACTTTGCTGAGCCCAGAACTGAACTGGGGACACCATGCATCTCCTTATGCTTTCTCAACCACAGTAAAACCACTGAAGGGCCAGAGCACTCACATGGCTCAAAAACATCCTAAGGAGAAGTTCTGCCCTTACCCCTCAGGTCAAGTCTTGTCAACCCCACACCCCATATCACTGTTCCCCAGGTGCCTGCCTGCCTGCCTCCTCCGACTGAACCGCACTCCTGGAGGATTGTTGGACCTATTCCAAATTCCATCCCTTAAAGACAGCATGTTGTTTAGTCACTAAGTTGTGTCCAACTCTTTGTGACCCCGTTGGACAACAGCACACCCGGCATCCCTGTCCCTCACTATCTCCCAGAGTTCGC